ATGTAACACGGAAAACCATGCCGACTTTGAGGTTATGTTGACACTGTTTGTTGATCGCAGTGTCATCTTTGAAATAAAGTGCTACAGCAGAAGTGTGAGCACTGGCAACTTGGTGACACACCTCAAGGAAGCCCATAATATCAGTGAAGGCAAAAAGAACCCAGTTGCGACATTACAGAACTTTTTCTCTGTGAAACGGACTTCTAAGCAGAGTGAATCCGAAGCGCAGAGTCGCTGGCTACTAGCCCGGGACCTCGCATTATGGTTTTGCCGCAGTCTTATTCCGTTTGACCTTACTGAAGATATTGGGACTAATGACTTCATGAGAGTAAGTGTTAATTTTTTTTAAAATGTTATTTTTGTTTGATTCCGTGTTATTTATATGCGATTTTTTTTGGTACTAGAAATACAATGTGATAGGGGCAGATGAGAGTCTTCCCACACGTGTCACCGTGTCGCGGAATGCTCTACGAGATGTGTATGATACAATGCTGGCCCAAGTGAAGAAAGACCTGCGCGACGTCTCCCCGTTCGGTGCAATGTCTCTGGATGGATGGACGGACAGAGGGATGCGACATTCATACTTCGCCTTCGCCTATGATGCCATCACAGGTGAGTCTCATTTACGCGGTCTTTGACCAAACTTTCTGTGTGTGAGTGTGTACGAGCGCGAGCGCGCGCGCGCGCGTGTGTGTGTGTTTGTCGATACCCCACATGCAAGAGACTGTCGCAGCCGTCAGGCGGCCACCAGGACGGCCACGCGCGTGGGGTAGCGACACGCCACAATCGCATTCATTTGCACGCAGGCACTCGTCGTTAACTTATTCTAACCCCTTTTTGGTTTTGTTTATTCAGAAAAAATGGAAAAGGTGCGTTTTCAACTACAAACCTCCGTGTGTTACGAAAAAAAAACACACCAACAGATTATCCGTGAAATTGACAACGTGAATACACGTTTTGGATTGGAGAATAAAGACATTACCTACATCACTGACAGGGGTTCAAACATGGTAAAAGCCATCAAAACAATGGGCGCACCGCATCACTCCTGCATAGGTATGTATCCGCCCGCACCAGCGTTCTCGAGTCCGCGATATATTTACGAAACTTACACGTTTTGGTGATTTTCTTTTAGGTCACGGTGTGCACAATCTTGTTAGTAAAGACGGGATACAGGGCCACCCTGTTATCGCAGAACTCTGCAAGAAAGCTAGAACCGTGTGCAAGGCCGTGCGCTTTCGCGCCCCAGAACTTGAACGCGAACAGGTGAAAGAGCAGCAGCTTGATTGGCTCAAAACTGTTGTGAAGGCCGACGAGCACGCTGCGGCACGCTGACCAAGATGACGCCGATCCCATTCCTGATGAGCAGTCGGACGACGAAGACGGCTTGGGCTCCACATCCACATTGATTGACTTCCCCATCACCACGGCCTCTACCAGTGTCAAGCTGCCTGTGCCCACCCGATGGCACACAGTCCTCATTATGCTGGAAAGCATTGAGCAGAATAAGGTAAAAAAAATCTATCTTACAGTCCAAAATAATTAAGTCAATTTTTCACTTTTCTAAAAATAAATATTGTTCCTAGGGTCCAATAAATATTGTGTTAAAACAAGTTGGGAAGGAAGAAATTCAATTTACCAGCACTCAGCATGGAACAATAAAGACCTTGATCGATTTTTTGTCGAAGTTTCGGCGTGCAGTTGAAATCCTAAGTTCAGATAAAAGCTGCACTATAAACCTGGCATTACTTCTCAGGTATGCGTTTATTCAATTTTTTTAAAAACAAAAAGCCCGAATATTTTGGTGCAATGCGTGCGGGACCGTTTGCTCAATTTTTTTTTTTAACCCCAGGTCGGAGCTGGACGATGCTCTTCGGGAAGACGAGGACGACACCCTTGCCGTTGGGGAGCTGAAGAAGCGCCTCCGCGACAAGTTGGACTACAGGTTCCCTGTGAACGATCTGCTGGTTACCGCGGCGCTTCTTGACCCCAGGTGCTGTGACCTTGTCATCCTAAACGACTATTTAGCGAGGAGCGGCACAACCAAGGCGGAGTTTCTGGCGCAGCAAATCAAGTACGGCGTGCTGGAGGAGCACCTGCCGTCGGAAGCACGGAGGCAAGTCGACGAGCCCGAGCCTCAGGACAACGCCCGCCCCGCCAAGAAGAAGACGAAGACCACAGCTGACGAAGTCCTAAATCTGAGTAGAAAACACTCTATGCCCAAGGCTGGGGAAGGACGGGCTGCGGCAGTCGAGAAGGAGGTCAAGCAGTACCTGGACTCCTGCTGTCCGGACGATGTGGCCGACAATGATGTGCTGGGTTATTGGAAGGGACGCACGCTGCAGTACCCCTGGCTCACCACAGCTGTCCGAAAATTTCTCTGCATTCCGGCCACGTCCACATCTGCTGAGAGGGTTTTCTCCACACTCAAAAAAATTTCAATACAAAATTCTGTAACATGGTTACGCAGTAATTTCCACTACAAATGTTACAGAATTTTGTATCAGCACTGATATAAAATTTTGTATCACGCGTTACGGTAAACTGTTTCCCGGTTACAGAATTCTGCAATGCAAAAATCAGAAAAATTTGTCGTTTTATAAACAAAATTTGAACCTCAACGATCGTTCATTCCTACACATTAACTCCGTCGCTCCTGTACTCCCGAATACCCGGAGAAACCGAACTGCGTTCTCCGGAACCGAACCCCGGTCCCCCGGTTTGCCTGCTTGGCATGCTACCGCTTGCGCCACAGCGCCGTATGGGGAGGCACGCCTCAGACTGTCGATGACACCGAGCGGGCACGCTGCATGCCCAGGTAGTGGTGGGAAACGAGCCCTGCGGCGCAACAGTAGAGTTCCTGGCCCGAAGCTTCTAAAGTACCATGCCCCACGTTAGGACTTTTCGCCCGATCAACTGTGATGTTAAAATTAAGCTCGTAATTTGACTTTAAATTTGCGTTTTTAATTTTTGCATCAGACGATATGTAAACTTGTAACGATATGTTACGATTTTCTGTATCAGTTACAGTTATTTGCATAAAGATCGCATTTTTACATGGAACTATATCACTGATTGTGAATATTGAAACAAAAAGTACAGAATTTTGTGTCAGATTTAGAATTTTGAAGCACTGATTCGTAAATTCGTAACATTCTTGACGTGATACAGAATTTAGGATCAAGGATACAAATATTTGTATCCGACTGACGTGTTACAGAATTGTGTATCAAGATCGTTACAAAATCCTATATTATTTTTTAGAGTGCATAGCTGGCCTCACTGTGACAGCTAAGCGATCGCGGCTGCACCCCGATCGCGTTGATATCATAATTTTCATTCATGAAAATTATGAAACATGCAGAAAACTTTTTAACTGAGGTTTTGTTTTTTTAATTTTTGTACTGCAAGCCATGTTCTAGTCTTAGACTAGCCAAAGAATTAGTTATATGAGATTTTATAACTGCTTGACTGACTTTAAATAATTAATGTTGATTGTATTCCTGTGCAGTATTGTGTTCAATATTAAGTAATAAATATTTTAATACATTGTGGTACTCAGATATTCTTATTTTGGCTTTAAAAGGCCCCTTTTCGGCACGGGCCGCCGATCACGCCGCCGCCGCCGCCGCCGATGTTTGACCGGCGTCAACGCCGGCGGCGCCGCCGCCGCCGGCTGAATTTCGGCCAAACGCCGCCGCCGCCGAATTTACGATCGGCGCACATGTCTATTCAGAGTTAACGACAACTGTAAGCTAACAGCATTTTTAACCATGTTCGAGGCAGTTATGTGTTTCAATATCCAGTGAAGTTCAACTTAAAAAGAGTCATACTTGCAACTTGACACCATGACTAGCTTAGACCAAATATTCCTTGTTTGCCGTGATTGTAACTCTTTCATTCTCAGTGTTGTACTTTTACTTGTGTTTCGAAATTTTGCTAGCAGTTTTTTCATGCAGCTTTTAGTAGGAATTGTTACAAAACGTTGCCTTATCGTTGCACAACATTAACAGTTTGAATGACGATGTATACTCAAAGTGCTTGGATTCGTCCAAGGGGAAATCACTGAGAATTTCAGTGTACAAATCCAATGAATTTCCGTCGAATTGCGATGAATTTCAGTCAAAAACCTTCTGAATTTTGAGAAGAATTTCAATGAATTTTTATAAATATTGATGAATTCCAATAAATTTTTACATGTTTGATGAATGTCGGTGTACAAATGGAGTTATTTCCCCTTGGATTCGTCACTGGATTCAGGCGGGGATCCGGCGGGGATCCGCCTGAAAGGTAGGCAAAAAGTCGCAGTTTCCCCTGTGGTTCGGCAACTTTCGCGACATCGCCCCCCCCCCCTTGAACCCGTCCCTGGATCCGCCCTTGCACTGGATTTGAGCAAAGATGGTGGCGCGCGCACTTGCCTTCGTCTGTGAGGCCATCGAAGCGTACTGTGACGGCCACCAGGGGCGCCGTGACGATCATGTGGGGCACGGCGATGACCGC